CATGCAAAAACGCAAAATGCATGTATTACACGCTTTCATCTTGAAACAATCTGATATAAAACTAGTTCTTTCACAGACTCGCTTATTTCTACTAGAATCTCTAGAAAAAAGGTTTTCTTGTGACTTGCTGAATATATGCTAATTATTCTCATGACTTCTTCAATTCGTGTGCGATTTCCTAACATAATTTGCCCTTACATACCCAAATCTTATAAATTCTTCTATAGTTATGCAACTACAGCGTACAGCAATCTTGAAAATCTTAGAAAAGATCAAAGTGCATACCAACTGATGACAATCCAATATATAATTACCTCCCAAACATGATCTACTACAGTCAGTATATCCATTATACTGCCAAACATACACAGATACTGAATTCTCAACTGAGTTTGATGTAGATATGTCTTTATATATCTCTGTTTCAATATCTACAGTTGGGTATTCACTTTCGCCGTAATTCATACAACTTCCAATGTTGCATTCCTGATTCTCTTCTGGTTTGATGGTCAGACATTTATCATCTTCTAAGACAACTGTTGATTCGCTGTATGTCAAGTATATCTGACAAGACACTGGACGAACTTGAATTCCAGGACCACAAGTCTTGCTGCATAGACTCCATTCACCAACAACATAGCTGTGAAATAAAGAAACTTAAAGTTTCTACTTTCAATAGGTGATTTTTCATTCAACTGTGAGATCTTGCGAGTTGCATGAAAGACATGCGTCGAATATCTGCCGCAAAAATCGAACAATTTAATTTTTAACTCAAATTCCTTTATTTCCTAGCTCACATCGACCGTTCGAAATTGCCTATCATCAAATGTGTACAGCACATTATTAAGCATGGAAATATTCCCCAAAATATTTTTGCATTTGTCGACGCCACTACAACGCTATGACATTTGTTTGTCCTTTTTTTACGTTCGATTTCACGCATAACGCGTGATTCTCGCAGTGAACAGAAAATGGTCAATTGACCTAAATTTTAGTAGTTAAGACAGCTCCAGGACCAAAACAACAACAGGCACAGGGAAAAAATTATGTGTTCTTGGTATCGTACACCTATGTTATTAGAATACAAAATGTAGCCACAGGATCTAACCACAAGTGTTTTTTTTGTTACTGGCATTATGATCGCATATGTGATGCAACACCAATACAGGACCAGAGCACTATGTATTTCTGATATGTTACTGGTATGTTATTGATAATGACTGTGTATACACACAGTAATAGAAATTTACCTTGGTTCTGAAGATGCCCGAGACAGTTCTTGAATACTTTGGCTCTGTTTGATAACAGTTGGACCTGATATTCGTATCACACCAGCCTCTAAAATGAAATACAACATTTATTTCAATGCAATTATCAAAAATTACTGTTCCATTTTCATATTTCCAATACTTTTAAAAGAATATAAAATACATTGAAGTCATTGTCAATGACACGTCCCCGATCCGTTCATAAGCAGATCATGACCGAAATCTCAGACCACTTTCAGTGGTCTGATCCGAAATGCACTTGCATATGTACAACACATGGTACTAAACCTGAACAAAATCCATCCATGCATGACTGAGATCCGGTTCCGGAATTGTGAAAATACGTGATTTTGATGCATTTTCGGCCTTAAAATGGCCATCATTCAGCTATTGTTAAGCGGTCATGAAACAAATGCACATACATATTTGTGACATGATGTACCATGTGTGTGTGAAGTTTGAACTTTATCAATCCAGACATGTCTCGGATACGGATCCAGAACTGAATTCTTTAAAACAAAATGGCCGCCAGTCGGCCATTTCGAACTTGATCTGGAAAAAAAAAGACGTGCATCAAGGTCCTATTATGTTTAATGTATGTACCAAATTTGAACGAAATCCGTCCATGCATAACTGAGGTCCGGGTCCGGAATGGTGAAAATATGTGATTTCAATGCATTTTCGGCCTTAAAGCGGCCGCCATTTGGCTATCGTTAATGAGATCATAAAAAAAATGCATATGCATATGTCCCATATAATTTGTGATGTATGAGTGAAGTTTGAACTTAATCGGTCCATGCATGTTCGAGATACAGGTGATCACGGACGGACGGACGGACAGACGGACAGACGCACACAGGGCAAACCATAAGTCCCCGTTTTCGGACTACGTTCGAACGGGGACTAACAAGCACACTGAGAGAAATAGCAGTGTGTTAACTTGAGTCTACATTGAGTCGAGAAGCGCCCCTCTTAAAAATGAGTTGATCCGGGGAGGTCAAGTAAGATAACGATCTTTAGACGTGTACACCAAAGCAGTCAGTAACTTTAAGTTAGCTGGCAATGTTGCTGTTTTGGTGTTCGGAACAATATGGCGATGACAGTAACGAAAACACGGCGAAAGAAAACACAGAAGAAATAGAACGACTGAGGAAGAAACAGAAAGTAAGTATGAAAGAGAAGAAAGATTGAAAGAACAGAGATACTCAAGAGGGTTTAACTTAAGAATTTATGGAATTGGGGAAAAAGACAACGAAAATGCGATAGAGATGGTGAGAGAATTAGTAAAGGAGAAATTTGACCTAAACCCAATGACTATTGAAAACGCCCATAGAATACCAGGTGGCCCCTCTAGAGGTAACCGTACTCGTGCTATCGTCGCAAAGTTTATATGTAGACCAGATAGAAGAATAGTATTAACCAAGGCCAGGGATATACTAAAGGGCACTGACATCTTCGTGAAGGAAGATTTATGTAAGGAGGATTACCAAGCGAAGAGGAAAATTATGCCATTAATGAGGTATGTATTGGGGTCTAAAAACTAACTCTGCGACGCGATTGTGCGACTCGCCGAATGTCGATTATTGCACTCTGCGACAGGATCGCAGTGTCACTCTGCCAAGAGCACGATTCCCATTAGTTGATTGGTCGAAAAGCGTGAATCTCAATGGTCGATCGATGTAAGGGTACACAGCATGCCTTACAGAAATGTTCAGTTTTAAATGGTTATTTCGCCGACTGCTCGCGAACTACGGTAAACAAGTATTTACCGACGACATGCCGTACGGTTCGGTAATCAGCAAGTATTTAACATTGATTTATTAACATATATAACATCCCCTGGATGGGGATGAAAGGGCTCCAAAATACATGCACGTTGGTGTTTGCTGCCTTATTACGGTGTAACATCAGGGAGCTGGTAACAGTAACGCCATCTTGAAGTTGTACAGCTTCGTCCGCAACAATGCTCATTAGCATAGGCGGCAGCTTTAAAGCAAGTAGAGCGTGAAGTACGTTTTACACGATGTTACGTTATTTTTGTTGTCATTAGCAAATATAATTTGTTACTAGTATGACTATATTTATCACTTTGAATTCCCTAATAAAGCGTGTAGCGGGTCAAACTGTTTCTAAGCAGTCAATATCGTTTTATTAAGAATATTAAGAGAGAAAAAACGTAAAGCTGTGTGAATGAATTGAAACTACTGCAGTGTCAACGGAAAATCAGGGTGAACGCTCTCTGCATAAATGGGAACGATAGCTTTGTTTACTTGGCCGATGTCGACGAGCAACACATTTCCTGTACTCATTTCCTCGCCTGATCACCGGCACTCAACGGTCTCGCGTATCGGTGTCGTCATCGGTTAAGTAGTTGAAACTCATTCGCGTTGATGCGAATATTTCAGCCTAATTGTCCCTTTCGAACCACTCGCGAGGTTGGTCATAATATGACCTAGACGTGCTTGCAATCTGTTGCGATTCCGATGAAAAATTCTTAAAAAATAAAAATAAATTGCGTAAACGAGGGGTGAACGCGAAAGTCCTGTAATTTTTCATCGGAATCACAACAGGCTGCAGGCAAGTCTAAATTAGTAAATATGACCCTGAGTTGCAGATTTTGTTGTTTGTTGAGTTGCATTG